GGGACCCCTGCTCTAGGGCATCCTCCACCCTCAGGACCTAATCTCCCCCGCCCCCAAAGGGGACAGGAAGGATTAAAGGAGGCAGGAAGGATTGTTACTGGTCATTACCAGGGGAGGAATAAAAACAGCAAAAGAAACTCCTCTGCTGGGAGCTTGCCAGGTAGAAGTCAAGATGGTTCAAGTAGAGGTGCTTCTATGATGAGGCATGTGCAACAGGAACTAAGATGGTGACCATGAAGGGGAGGTACCTAGCCTGTGAAAAGGATTGGATTGGATAAGGCACACAGAACCCCAGAAGATCTTGGAAATACATTGGTTAGGGGTTGGGCCCATCAGAAGCCCATGAAAGTTTAGGAAGTAGACTAGTTATTTTGAAAGGGTGCCTGATCCTTCCCAAGCCTGAGGTGATATAATCCAAGTTTAACAAAGTTCTCTCTCTGGTGCCCATAACACTCCCTCGCCCCATTCATTCACACTTTCTCTCTTCATAGCAGCCATGCCACCCTAACAGCCACCGGGGGTCCAGCAGCCTCACGGACTCCAAGCCTGGGCTTGTGCACAGTGCTAGCCAGAGTGTAGCTGGGGATAGACTATGCTAGCCAGATGGTGGCAGACATGGACTGAACCAATGGCACAGAATTTCTGGACCGTGGCCTTTGTACTGGGCTTAATGAAAACAAGGTTGGACTTTTTTCACAGTGGGATGGATGAAGATAGACATTGGGAACCTGGGGGCAGCCTTCTTTTTCCACCCAAATAAATTTTACCACCTCATCTTCCCAGGTGGGTCCTTGAAAATGCTTTCCTCCTGACACAGCAAAGACCCCATTTCCACCAGCAAAAGAATCATAAATTCCTGCATTCCACTACCATATCCTTTATTCCGAGTGGGTTGCCTGTGGGGGGGTGGGGGGGGCTAGAAAATACCCATGCAAAATTAAAAGAAATTCTCTTCATGATTATTCTTCTTTATTTTTATTCTTAATTATAAGCAGGATTTGAGTAAGTTTAATACTGTATACAATACAATATTTTAATAATTTCTTAGCAATCGAATAAATATCGTAGTCCCTGAACTACCTGAGACTTTAGCAAATGGTTAGGTACCCCAATAAAACACTGCACAAACACAAGGCAAAGGTGAACATCAGTGCTATTCTGCAGACAAAGCAGACACACTGCTGCTCCACATGAGAATGAAATTTAAAAGGAAAAAAGAAACTATGAATAAACATCGGCAGTGACAGACAAACCCATTGGCACACACATGCATGCATACACATTTTGTGTATGTGCACACATAGCAGTACAAAAATTATGTGGACAGTGAATTCATCAAACATGTGAGAGTCTTCTCTGTGTAAGAACTGTGTTATTCCTAAGAAACTGAGGCAATTCTATTGTCATTGTCTAAAAAGGCTGAAGAATGTGCCTAGGAGGTCTAAATCCTGAGTTTGTCTTTGGACACATTAAAGAAGTCACATTGAGGCAGGCTAGTCCCCTAATCAGTCTACTTCTGGCCACTTCATTTTCTTCCTGTTACTCTCTCACTCCCTGTACCAAATGCTATACTCTCACTATAGCGCCTGACACTTGTATGTGCATTTGATTCTCCTGACAGAAGAGCTTTTACTGAACATTTGTTATGGTATGGGCTGAATAGGGCAGAAAGAATAATAATCAATAAATGATCATTTTTTTTTGTATTTCACCTTATATCTACTCATAAAAGATGGAAAATATACACAATATTAATAGGGAACTAGAAAATATATAATTAAAGATTAAATGGCATAGTTGAGATTATAAGATACAGCTGCATAATGCTTTAAAGTTTATGGAGCATCCCCCCCCCCCCCACAAACCCCCCCCCCCAAAACAAATCTTTAACATACACTTGACTTTATGACAAGGATACCAGCTTAGAGGGGAAAAAATAAGCTGCCTAAGTCACATGTCTAGTAATCAAGAGCTTGCTCTCATAACTGACACCAAACGTTGCATTCTTCCCACCACCTGAAGGTACTCTCACAAAGGTCCACAGCTATCGTTCAGGGAATATGGACAGCAACATGGGTAATGCGCACCTTAAGCCCTTCAGGATATGCAAGAGCTGGATCTGAAAGAAGAACTCCAGTTGGGGATGGGCAAGAGCAGAGAGGTCTTGAGTGAGGAAGAGCCATGGGGCAGCAAGTCCTGCTGAGGAGAGAATCTATAACCAGAGGAAGATGACTTCAAAAATCAGTGAGGTAGTGAGGACATTCAGACTTAAGATTTCAGAATGAAGTGTATGACTTGAATTGATTCACAAAAGGAAACAATGATTGATTCTAAAACAGAATGAAAGCAATGTTTTGGGAAAATTAACCTGGTAGGGCATGGAAGATTCACTGGGGCAGCAGAAGGGAGTGGGACAGAATGAAGGCAAGGGAACCAGGTAAGACCCAACTGTAGTAATTTAATAAGAAAGTAGTGAGGACCAGCAGTGAGGGGAGTGTCAGTGAAAATGGCCAGGGATGAAGGAAGTTCAGGAGTACTAACAGATGAAGGGGGACAAAATTTTGCCACCCTGAAGCTGCCTTTTTAGGATATTGACGTTAAGCTATTTATTAAGAAACTAGAGGCCCATTGCAGGAAGATTCCTGCAAGAATGGGGCTTCCTCGGGCCTATTCCTGCAAGAATAGGGCTTCCTGAGACAGGAGTGAAGCTCCCTTCTCCGCTGCCTCGCTCCCTCCCATCTCCACTGCCTCGGCTCCATTCCCTTCTCCGCTGCTTCGCTCCCTTCTGCAGCATTTGGCTTCCTTCTACACTGTCTTCAGTCTTCACTCCGCACCTGTGTATGCAAATTAACCGTCATCAAATTAACCGCTCTGATTTGCTGGTGGGCATAGCAGAGGGATGTTCAATTTGCATGTGTCTCTTTAATTAGTGTAGACAAGACTCAGAAAGAACCTTTGACATCCTCCTCCTCTTTCCTACTCAAGAGATTCAGATAGACAAAAACCTGCTTCAGGAAGATCTTAGGATGTTAGTTTTAGCCTCATTTAAATTAAGTATGGTAAATAAGAGGGCTTCTGGGTGCTTGCTAGTTAAATACCCCATGTGTTCCATTGTTTCTGAGTCTCCTAGCATGAATTTGCCTACCATGTATGTTAACTACCTGTAAATCACTCATTCTCAATTCTGAAATCTAAAACCCCCATTTCCACCCTTCTTTTTCCAAAAATGTCATATATATCCAACGTTGCCTCACTGTCTTTGGGATTTTCATGCTTATGTGAATTCCCCATGCACATGTATTAAAAATTAATTTTGTCCAGTTAAATTTTCTGCTCATTTGATTATTAACCCAACTAGAAAACCTTCTAAGGTGGCAGGAGAAGAATTAATATTTAGCCCCCACACAAGGAAAATATGACATGCATTGGCCAATGGGAGAGATGGAGAAAGGAGAGAAGAACTAAGTTGGGCTGGTAAAAGGCTCTATCATAAAGTACTAGTTAATATTCCAATATTCACTGGCAGACCAATGATCAATCTGGTGAATTTTGCTCTTTCACTTTGAATCAAGGATGACTTACTAACATAATGAAGATTCCATACCCTTATTAGGGGTTTGGCATAACTAAGTTATGACTGAGTATTGCTCTCAAGTGTAAACCCAGTGGGAAAGATGAAGATGGGATGAAAAGGTCATTTGGTAGGTTCAGATCATAAAGACACATGGGTACTATACTATAGAATCAATTACGGTTTTCATGCAAGGGAGTGACATGAGTTGGTCAGTGTGAAATTTTAAATTTAGAAATTTAGAATTTGCCCCTTTGGTAGCAGCATGGAGGATTCATTAGAAGGTGGAAATGTTTGATGTAGATAGAAAACCAGATCAACAGTCCAAGGGATAAAGCAAGAAAGAAGGCTTGAACTAAGAAGTGACTGGGTGTGAGAAGAAGAGGGAGTAAAAACAAATACTTTTAAGCACTTTGAATTACTATACTTTTAAGAAATTTTAAGCAAGTACTCTGCTAAATAGTTTATGGGCATGGATTTTAGAGTTACTCAGGTATTAATCAGAAGGTTGAAGAATGGCCTAGAAGATATAGATGTTAACAAGAAGGAGAGCCAAGACTCAAGGACAAGTGATCACCCTACTTTTGACCACAGGGTAATGGTGAATCCTGGTCAGTGGAGGAGGGTGATGAGCATGGTTTTTTAAATGCTGAGTTTGCAGTACCTTTGGGCCATTTGGGTGGTGAGGTCTAGTAGGCAGCTGGAAATACAAACTGGAGCCCTGGGGAGAGGAGAACATGTGAATGAGTTTTTTGCTGCCCACCTTCACCAATGCTGCATTTAAAGGCTTGGTAATTTGAGGGAAAATAAGTTATTTAAAATGAAGAACTGAATGTAGCATGAGTCTATCTCCTATGTAAAGGAATTCACTTAACCTCTTCATTTTCCAAAATTTCCTTTTACAGATGAGACAACTTAATTTTTTTTACAACGGCAATTGTCTAAGATAAAAAGTCTTATGTTATATGACACATACACCACTTTTTTGAATGGCTTCTACCTGTCTTGCCCAACTGGAGGTGAACAGCATTGGAAGCAAAGATTTTTTTAAATATATTTTATTGATTTTTTACAGAGAGGAAGGGACAGAGATAGAGAGTTAGAAACATCGATGAGAGAGAAGCATCGATCAGCTGCCTCCTGCACATCTCCTACTGGAGATGTGCCCGCAACCCAGGTACATGCCCCCCGACCGGAATCGAACCTGGGACCTTTTCCGTCCGCAAGCCGACGCTCAATCCACTGAGCCAAACCGGTTTCGGCGGAAGCAAAGATGTTTTTAAATACCTTCCAGCCTCCTTGTGGTAGGTGCTCATGGCCTTCCTGATCATGAACGGCCAACTCTAAAAACTGAGTTTGTGCACTCTTTGTGAAATGTCTGATCATGAACGGCCAACTCTAACAAATACATGGGGCATATTTTTAAAATTTTATTTCAGTGTAAAAAAGCTGCCCCCTCTCCCACACTGCTTCAACTTTCATTTATGCTCTAAACTTAGCAACTGTAGAAATAGTGAATATATTTAGTTTAACAGAGTTAATAGATACCCAAAGGAATTTCAGATGTGGTATGCTTTGCATTTTTATAAATATCAATCTTTCCTCTGCTAGCTTTGATGAAGTTAGAAAATGTACCCTCGGGGAATCTAACAGGAAGAATACTTCCTGTTTTGATTTTCTCTATGGAATTTATCTCCATTTAATGTACTATATAATTATTATGTCTACATTCTGTGTCTACCCATTAGGCAGTAAGCTTGAAGAACACAGGCTTTTATCTGTAGGGTTCACTGATGTATTCCCAGCATTCAGCCTAGAGAGTAAGGGCTCAATAAATAATTGAGAGTGAATAAATCAGAGTCCTGTGATTATTATACCTCAAGAAATTATCATGTGTTTTCCCTTAGCAATCATGACTCAATCTCCATGCTCTAACTTAGTCTTGAACCGTGATTTCTATTTATATACCCGAGAGAAATTCTTTCAGGACCTATGTTGGGGTGGGACCCTGCAGGGCCTTGAATGTTATCAATACAAAGAAATTAACATGGGAAAAACTGCAGCAAAGTGTCAAGACCCCCCAGGTTCTCCAAGTGATTCCTTTGCCTCGCTCTGTCCTATGAGGAGTTAGGATTTCTCACCTACCCATACCACTCAGACTTCTGGTTTCCTGATCTCACTTCCTGTTTCAGCATATGTTTCGGCAGAGGCTTCCTTTCAGTGTTCTGACCCCAGGTTACTTGAGTGTGACATCTGTTGTTTTCATTTTTGACACTTTGATCTCTGTGTGTGGTTAAACCTAGAGAACTGTCCCAGCCTGAATTTCTAGACAGATTTCACAAAACTTTAGAATTACAAGACAGATATTTTCTCCTCAAATTTCTTAATGTCCTTTGCTCTCTCCATTATAAAAAAGGGGGAAAAACTGAGTTTGTGCACTCTTTGTGAAATGTAGCCATTGATAATATAGCTTATGGCTTTCTAAGTCATTGGATTGGTCTAATTTAATTCATGGACCGACAACTCCAAACATATCAACTGTATCAGGGAGGCACTATTTAAAAAGGCTCTCATCACCTGCACAGAAGACAATTCACTTGACAGCACTCTTTTCTTGGGCAGTGACTCAAATCAGCTGAACTGAAAAATAAATCTAAAGGGCACACAGATGTCATATAGCCTGAAGTAGCCCTCTGAGCAATAACTTGATTCATTTTTCCCTGGTTCTGCAAACAGGACTGCAATCCAAGAATCTATTTCCCCTCCATATGAAGAGAGCTGTTTAGTGCCCTAGCAAGGGCTCTCTTGAATTCCTTTGCCCTTATGGGTATGGTAAACTGCACACAGTGACTTCTTGATTTTATTTAACAGGAAACAGGCATTTCTCTTAATAAGTGATGTGAATCAGTCACAAATAAGGGCTCTAAAATTAGAAAACAATATTTTATCAAAGTAATGTTAGCATCAGAGTCTGAGGAACAGACAGGTACCAGCCTGAATTTCTATGTATACTGGACATAAGCGACTTATTAATTTTCCTTGTGACAATCCCTAATTATTTTTTTTAAACTTTTGGCTACGGAAAATTTTAAATATACACAACAATAGAAGAGAGTGGTGTAATAAAGCCCATGTGCCCATCACTCGGATATAACAATCATGAGACACACCTCCCCTAGATTATTTAAAACACATGCTAGATGTCATTTTACCTGTCTTATTTCAATATGTATCTCTAAAAGGTAGAGAGAGTCCTTAAAAAATATAGCCACAATATCATACCCATACCAAGTGGTGTGCTGGTAGTTTTTAACAACCAGTTCTCATGGTGGGGTAGGGGAGGGAGCCCTGATATGCAGTTTATGCCAATTTCCATTTCATGGTGTAAATATTCCCACCATGGCCAATTTCAAGGTACCAACATGATGCCCCTGAATGTGGCATTGAGAAGGAAGGTGCAGCACACCATTTTATAGGACTTCTGCTATGCAGATACATTAGACATAAATAACCCTGAGAACATCAATAACAGCAAATTAGAGTAAAATAATTAGGAAGTGATACATTTTGAGCATTAATTTCATTTTAACACTTTAATTTCAAGTGTGTCTAATTTAATTTTTAATGGCTGCGTTTAACAACTGGCTTGCAAAATTCCTGAAATATAACAACCAGCTCTCGTCAGCTCTAGCATACCACTGAATCGCATCCAAACATTTAACAATTCTTTAAAATTCCCAACTATCCCAAATTCTCTGACATGCCTCTTTCCTCTTTTTCTCACAGCAGAGAAGCATCTCAAGCAGGGGTGAAGAGGGAACTCAGCTTTTGGAAGCTACACCAAAAGCGTTAGGCTTTCCACATGGCTAGTCCGCTGTGAAAGTCTGTTTCCAGGCAGTTAAATTAGATGCGGCACACGCACATTCCTTTAGATTACTGGGAGTCACAGTCATGTTTTTATTTCACTTTCACTGCCCATTCTCAAGCTCCTAAAGAAAGAGTTTGAAAAGGGATAGGGCAGGGACGTTTCAGAAGGAAAAATAAGCCCTTCCCAGGTAGACAACCTCGAGCTGATGGAGGGTTCCACAAGGAAGATTCCTAAGAAGTTGTGGGATACCCTTCTGTGCCTGATATACCCCACCATTGACATGCGGTTAAAAAGCCCTCTTTAAATGAGCCTTCTAGAACTGAATGTAACAGTTCAGATGTGGTAGGGCCCAAGTAGACGTTAAGTGGTGTAGCTGCCATCCTCAATGAGGGTGCCCGGCTACACCACAACTCCTCCTTGAGCTCACAGTCAAGTAAAACTGGAGTCCAGTTAATGAACCAGTGTTTACCACTTACCCAGACTCTACAGTGTGCACTCATGAACCCACTCCCACCACCAAATCTGTTCCCAAACTGCCTTTCCAACATCATTTCCCACTATGCCTTTGAACAAACCCTTTATTCCAGACAGGCCAGCCTACCCACCACCCAAAAAAATACATACCATTTTTATATTCCAAACTTTATATTATGAAAAATTCCAAATACATACAAAAGTATAAATAATAGTCTATGGAAGCCTCATATGCCCTTCACCCAGCTTCAGCAATTATCAACTCTTCACACCGATGGCCCTGAATGGTTTTGAAGCAAAGCCTGAACGTACCATTGTACCCACAATTATTTCAGTACTATTACTTTCCTGCACACCTGAGCTCAGACATTTCTCTGATACCTCCTTCGTCTTTCCAAATTCTATCGCATCCTGCAAAGGCTTAGCTAGGGTCTCACCTCCCACATTATTTCCACTGAACTTGTCCCTTAGTCATAAGTCTCCTTGAGTAAGAGGTAAGGAACTATAATTTTGAGTTTATGCTTCCTAGGACATTTTCAAAGCCTTTGCCTTCTCAACATTGCATTCTGTTTTGCCAAAGAACAATCCTATTTAATAAAAGAGTAGTATGCAAATTGACCATCACTGTGTGATTCAGATGGAGGCACCCATAGCCAATAAGGAGGGAATATGCAAACTGATGTGACAAAGATGGTGCTGGCCAGAGCGGAGTGGGTGAGGCTTGGCTTCCTTAGTGGTGGGCCAGAATGATGTCCTCCTGGCCACGCCATTGGGGTTTGTGGATCTGCGCGGCTGCAGGCCTCCGGTGTGTGCATCCTCTCCTCCTTCCCTGGCATGTGAACATCCCCAGCGCACTGTCACCCATGCACGACTGCAAAAGTCCCGGACCATGGCGCATGCAAGTACCCCCTCCCCGCCCCTTCTCCGCACTTTCAAGAATCCCAACAGGCCTACGTCCCCCACAGGACGTGCGCACATCCCTTCCGGCATGCTCACGTCCTTTGAAGAGTGTCTCAGTGTTCTGGGTGCTGGGGGTGGGTGCCTGTAAGATGACAGTGAGAGGGCGGAGTGGTGACACCCTGTTCCTGCGGAGGCCAGTGCAGCGATGAGATCACCTCCGTGTGGCTAATGCAGGTGCTGAGGCGGGAGCAAGCGCAGAAAGACACACCTGGTGGGCGCGGATGGCCCTCACTGAAGTGCCTTTGGTCAGCGTTCAAGATTGGGAACCCAGAAGAGGTGAGGAGTTCCGTCCTCTCAGTTAAACAGTGGGGTAGTCGGGGCGACTGCAGAGGAGAAGTGTGCATTTTGGGTGCCGGCACCCATGAGTGAAGGCTGCCCTGACTGAGCCTCACTTGCTTGGGGCCTAGCGCACTCCTGCT